AAAAATGTGATTTGAAATGACCAGCATCACACTTTTCACACTACTGTGGAATGTAATATTTTTAGTTACTTCTTTGCCCCATGCAGTAGATCCCATGACCTACTGAGGGTAAGGACTGAGTTTTATTCATCTTCTTAGCATACAGATGCTAGCACATAGTAGGGGCTGAATAAATGACTGACAGTTAAATAAATGAACTGATGCACTGATGCCCTGGCCCAAGGAGCTCTGAAGATGAGGAGAGTTCTAAAGATTGCATCTCTCCACCAGGCTGCCGTTCCCCTCCCCTCTGGGCAGTGGAACAGCCCCACTTATTTCAGTGAGAAGAAAGAGGGTGTGCAGAGTCCCTGGAGGGAGGAAGGGATTCTCCTGATTTTGAGTAACTGGATTCCTAATCTTCAATGACAGTCTGTCAGACCCTGAGCACTTATTAAGTGTGATGGTTAATTTTATAGGTCAATTTGGTCAGGCCACAGTACCCAGATACTTGGTCAAACATTATTCTAGATGTTTCTGTGAAGGTATGTCTTAGATGAGATTAACATGCAAATCATTAGACTTTGAGTACAGCAGATTACCCTCCATAGTATGGGTGGGCCTCACTCAGTCAGTTGAAGACTTTAATAGAAAAAGACTGACCACCCCCTAGCCCCATAAGAAGAAGGCATTCAGTCCTTCCGCCAGTAGATGGCCTTTCCACTCAAACTGCTACTCTTTCTGGGGTCTCCAGCCTGTTGGCTTAACCTGCAGATGGACTTGTCATTCTCCACAATCACATGAGACAATTCCTTAAAATAAATCTCTGTGTGTGTGTGTGTGTGTGTGTGTGCAAGTATGCACACACATCCTATTGATCCTGTTTCTCTGGAGAATCTGGACTAATACATCGAGCACATGTCAAGTGTCTCCAATTATATGAGGCAGTGCTAGGGATATCACAGTAAAAATTGCATAGAAAGGGCTGAAGGAGGCCTTCAGAATGATCCTATCCAATCCATGGGAAACTGAGACCCAGAGAGGGCAAGTGTCTGGCTCAGGGTCACACAGCAGGTTAGTGCTGAAGCCAAGAACAGAACTATCTCTAAGACCCTTCATTCAATGTCTTGTTCCCAAGATCACACTGGGGCTCTTGGAGTAACATTTGATTTAATTACGTGGATGAACTAAAATAAAAATAATACCAGCAGAGGGTTTTATTGAGCACTTTTGTGTCAGGATCTATGCTCAAGGCTTTTACAAGCTTATTTCATTTAATCTCAGCAATCCTGTGAGGCAGGCATTAGTATCCCCTTTGACAGATAAGCCTGGAGTGGGAGAGGGAGAGTAATTCCCTTGGGTCAAAGCTGCTGGTTTGTGACAATGGCGGAGGGGATGCAAGCCCTCACTCCAACTCTAAATCTGAGGCTCCAGCTGCCTGAGGTGCAGCAGGAAAGAGCAGGCTGCAGGGCGAGAGGGGCCTGGCTATGGGAAAGAGATGTGGCTCCTCCCATCAACCCTCACCTCCCCGTGATTTGTCTGGCCAGGCAGCTCATTTTGCTATGAAACTCTAGTTTCTGCAAATGTCTCTGCACAGAAAGGCTTATTTTGAAGGGAACACCTGTCCTCTAATCCTCCCAGCTGATGCAGCAATCTCTGTGGATTCCTATGTTATTTGCTAATACACTGGCCTTCTTGGGGATTTGGAAGCACAGCTCCCAGGGGAGGGGGGAAGAGTGGATTTCATTCTTTGCTTGGCAGTCCTCGCCTGTGGGAATGCACAGGGTGGGCGTGCGGCTCTGAGCCCGCATAATCGGATGGGGCCCAGATGGAAGATGCGCAGGAAAAGAAGCAGATCCTGAAAATAACCCATTGAGCTGAGCTATGGAGCAAGTTCACTGCCGAGCACCCACAAATAAGCTGTTTTATCTGACTCTTGTAAAAGACAAGGATGTCTTCTTTGACACACATCCCCAAAAATAGCCAAGAAAAGAAATGGAAAAAAACGATATTGTTATCATGTGCCGGCTGTGAGTCTATTTCTGTACTGTTTTTACACATATTAACTCCTGAAATCCTCTCTAAAATATAGATGTTATTCCATTTTAGAGTGGAAGAACCTGAGTTTCCACAAGGGTGAATAAGTCCCCCCGAGTCACATAGCATTTAGCGTAGCAGGTATTTGAGACCACATTACAACGGTCTCCAAGGGAGAGATTTGGCTGGGTCCTTCTTGGTCTTCTCAGATGCAACAGAATCAGGTGGACTGACGTGATCTATGATGTTTTCTATCCACCCCACCCCACACCAGGTCTAGGGTTTCTGGACAGTCTCTAAAGGCAGCCCCGCTCGACACTCACACGTCAATGGAGATGCCCATCACTCTCCCGCTCCCTCCTGTTGGTTTCTGTCTGCTGCCATATAGGGCAAGAAACTTCCGTGGGGCTTAGCTCTCTCACTGCTCAGAGTTATACATGAGCATGATTCACGCACTTGTAGCAATTGCTCCTTCAACACGCATTTTTTGAGCACTAATTATGTGTGCCAGGCACGGTGCTGGGCCCTGGGGATGTGGAGCTAAACAAGATGGCCTCTTTCCCCAGCCACTCAGGTGAAGCCCAACAGAGGAGAGAGAAAGATGCCTAGAGTTGACTGTGCAGGAAGCATCTGGGAGAGAGAATTTCTCCCCAGGAAATCAGAGAGCGCTTCACAGAGGTGGGGGCATCTGAACGAGGCACTAGAGGATGCATAGGGAGTTGTGCATCAGAGTTCCTTCTGGGCAGACACCATGTCATAATCATCCTCATATGCTCCTGTGGCACCAGCAAAGGCCCTTGTCTTGGGATTAGGTGTTCAAAGTGCATTGAATTAATCTATGACCTCTGACATTCCCCAATGTCCCATGCCACATTCCCTGAAAAACAGAGACTAAGCTGGAGATTTTCAGGTAGGAGATCTACTGGGGAGGCTCTGGAGGCCAGCACATGTAGGGGAGTGAGAAGCAGGACTGGGCAGAGGGAGAGGTTGGGCTGTGATGTGGTCACAACGAAGGTTTCAGTCGACGTACAGGGAAGTTGGAACAGGGATGGGCTTGCAGCAGGGGGTCGAGAGGGATCTAGAGGACACACACAGCATCCGCTAATGATGAAGGGTCCATGCTTGGCCTCGGGGACGCAGAGGGAGCAGGAAGTCCCTGCCTGCTATCCCTTCCCAATCCCATGCTGGAGCCCTGAAGCCATCCATGCACATGAGGTAATACAAAAACACCCATCTGTGCCGGCTCCCTGTCTTCCACTCCCTTGTTACTATCTGCCAGGTCCTGTGCCAATGCTAAGGACTCTGTTCCTAGAGGCACAGTGGTTGCCCGATGTCCTACATCTACAGGTAGCTGGAGTCCACCTTCAAGCAATTTTAATGGCTATAAAGTCTGCTCCTTCTTAGGCATGGATCTCCATCCTGGATTCAGTCCCCTGTCCCTTACGAAGGTCTAGCAGCTCTCTTCTTAGCTCCTCCAATGAGAACCTGCGACACAGCTGCTTGGACCAGATGGAGACATGACTTGGGCAGTTTTCATGGCCAGGCCTCCCAGCTGGGGCTCAGAGCCGGGAAAGGTGATGTCACAGGAGAGCATGCTGAGTGTATAACCTGACATGCTGACAGTCTGAGCATGGAGCTCAGCTGCACACGAGGACGGAACACCTTTTCTTGGGGGTAGCTGAGCATGGACAGCCATTCATACTTACACCATGGGCTGTCAGATGGTTAATTTGTGTGTGCCAACTTGACTGGGCCACGGGGTTCTCAGATATTTAGTTAAACATTACTTTGGGTATGTCTGTGAGGGTGTTTCTGGACGAGATTAACCTTGGAATTAGTAGATTGTGTAAAGCAGATCACCCTCCCCCATGTGGGTGGGCATCATTCAATCTGTTGAAGGTCTGAGTGGAACAAAAAGAATGGGTGAGAGAGAATTTTCTCTCTGCCCGTCTTTGAGCTGGGACATCAGTTTTCTTCTGCCTTAAAACTCAGATTCAGACTGCAACTTACATCATTGGCTCTCCCAGGTCTCCAGCTTGCAGATGGCAGATTGTGGGACTTCTCAGCCTCCATAACCACATGAGCTAATTCCTTATAATAAATTTCTTTATATAGATATAGATATAGATGATATAGATATAGATAGATATCTTTATATAGATATATATATATACCCTACATATATCCTACATGTATATATCCTATATCTATCTATCTACCTATCTCTCTATCTATTATCTATCTAACTATCTATCAACTGTTAGTCTCCTATTGGTTCTGTTTCTTAACAGAACCCAGACTAATCCAGGCTGGTTATCTCTGAGCAGGCCCCTAATCAAAACAATCATGCATTGGTTCAGGATAAATATGGGCAGAGTATGCCATGTGTGGCCAAAGCTCTGTGTATCACAGAAGAGTAAGAACAGGTGTTTCTTGGGAAGCAGGAACAAGGAGAAGGACAAGACATGTGTATTGAGCACCTACTGAGTACCAGGTACTGGACTAGGAACTTTACATTCATAACAGCACTGTATACACATACAACCACAAGAGGTTATTAAGTATTAGCCACCCACTCTACAGGTGGGAAAACTGAGGTATAGAGAAGTGAGCAAATGACAGATGGAGCCAAGTTTTAAAACTAGCTCCGTTTCAACAGGCTTTCAAGGTTACCTCATAGTCCAAGGGAAGCCCCTTACAGCATGCCCCATCAGCTCCAGAGAGCCACATTCTTCAAGGAGACCACATAGAAAAGATGCCATGTGAAGACCCTATTCCCTGGGTCTACCCCAGGGCCTGGCATTAGGAATATGTTTGATAAATATAGCAGCAATTAAAAGAAAGAAAGGATGGATAGATAAGAGGAAGGGACACACACAGCAAAGAATCGCTAAATGAAGTGAAGAAGTGAGAATATCATAGAACACACACACCCTGCAAAGTGAAGTTTGCAACTCTTGGGAACACTGCCCCCATGCAGGCGTTACCTCTGAGGAAGCCGGCTTGCAGTATCCAGCTCCAAAGACCAGGTTTTCCAGAGAAAGGCTAGACGGTTCTGGTCCCGTGTCTGGGCCACCTTTACCAAGCCAGGAGCCTCTTCCTGGACGAGTAAAACTGAAAAGAAGAGAATTGAAGAGGGAGAAAAAGAATGTAAAGAAAGTGATGGTGTCATCACCTCAGTCTCCTTGGGGGTGTTATTGGGGACACTATAAGAGAAGTCATTTAGAAGGGGTGGTTCACTCCCTAGGGGGTGCTTGGAAGGGACTTTTTTGGATGCTGCCGTGACAAGCCAATGCAACTGGCATACGAGCTTGGGAGCCAAGGATGACCCATATCCTACTATGTGTACAAAGAAATGCCCCATAAAGGCCAACACGATGCCTGCTGAGAGACACTGAGGCAGAGCTCCAAGGTTATACACCTGGAGGGGCAGGGGGAAAGGGCTTCTGGCCAGGAGGACAAGAGGAGGCTCCATCTGACCTGGTCTGAGTCCTGTCTCTACTCCTTTCAGTGGCACAACCTGGAGTGAGCTCCTTCAACCTCCACGCCCTCCCTGAGCCTCTGTTTGTTCTTCCATGGAAGAATGTAAAACAAAATCTACCTCCATGATCCAGGCAAGAGTCTACTAGGATCATGGATATGAAACGCTGTCATGATTAATGGAGCTCATTATGTCAGTGATAGCTGGGAATACTGCTATCTGTTCCACAGACAAATATACAGACCCTGCCCAGCTCCACAAGTCATCACAAAGATCGACTGACATGGTGTGATGGCGACCATTGGTCTTAGGATGGAAGGAGATTAGGAAGGCCTGAGTGATAATTTGAATTTCTCTTCTTTGGGTCTATGAACATCTCCCTCTCCCTTTACCTCTTTGATTTTTGTCAACTGATATATCAGCAAAGTCCACTTATACTCATTTTCCCTTGCTTTCAAATCTTGTCTATTAAATATCATGGTTAATTGTCTTGTCATATTGTGAATACTATTTAATAGGCATGCCTTATTCCCCCAGTGAGATTCAAAGTCTCTGATGCAGAGGGTCTTGATAATAAATAGCCTCAGGTGGCATCATCTCCACTGTAGGTGCTCAAGAAATATTTGTGGAAGGATTTAATCCAAGACGCCCACATTCCTGCTTAAAATATTGACAGGGAAATAATGTTAACATTATATTTCTGTTTAATTCATTTATTCCAATATTTATTAGGCTCATGCCACATGTCAGGCAGGGTGTTAGGTGATAGGGTGGCAAGGTGATTAAGGCATGACCCTCACCTTAAAGATATTTTGGTCTAGAGAGGGAGGCAGATGTAACATGACGGAGGTAAACTCAGGCCAGTGAGCATAGAAGAGTAGTTTATAAGCCAAACTAGATGAAAAAGATCAACAGTTAGAGATGATGCTCATGTAGAGTATGGCCAAGTGGTTAATGAAGCAGCCAGTGAAGCCAATCTGCCAGGGGTCAAACCCCAGCAGCAGCACCTGTAAGCCCTGTGGCATGGGGAAAGTTTTTTAGTCTCTCAGTGCCTCTGTTTCCTCACATGTCAGAAGGGTTGATGCCAGCACTTTAACCATGGGGTTATTGTGAGGATTCCAGGATTTCATGAGATTAGCTAAATACAGCTTTAAGCACAGTGTCTGGCAAATAGAAAAGATGCAATAAATGCTAGTAGTTCTCATCAATAATACCACAAACATCATAAAATCTAATATAATCGTTATCATACTTATAAAGCTATTGTTGATAATACCACAAATATAATCAAGTATAATATAATCATTACTCTGATTTGTTTCAAACTGAGATTTGAAGCAAGTCTCCAGTTTAGCTAGAAGATGGATAAAAGTAACATTTTAGCTGAAGAAAAGTAGAATATATATATGAGCAGTGATGTTTATGGCATAATCAGGGGATAAACTTCAAATTAACAACTGAAATAACTCATTCTTTGACTTAAGTGTGGCCTTGATTAGCTTTTCCAGTGGATCTGAATCCCTCAAGTGAAATACAATTGTACCCATTTGATGGTTAAAAATCCGATTCTTTTCTTCAGTTTATTTCAGGGAAGGTGGAGCATCTTTTTTTGTGTGTGTAAGGAAGATTAGCCCTGAACTAACATCTGTTGCCAATCCTCCTCTTTTTGCCGAGGAAGATTGGCTCTGATCTAACATCTGTGCCCATCTTCCTCTACTTTACATGCGGGACGCCAGCCACAGCATGGCCTGTTGAGCGGTACGTCGGTCTGCACCCGAGATCTGGGCCTGCGAACCCCAGGGCCGCCAAAGCAGAGCGTGCAAACTTAACTGCTACACCGCAGGGATGGCCTCATGTCTTTTGAGGTTAAATTTTAATTTCACACCTGCTTCTTCCTGATTGGATTTAACTGATGCTGCGAAACTGCTTTTCTGTAAAAACTAGAGTTTGCCCTGTTTGACAGGTATTTTCCAGAACTTTAAAGGGCTCCCTTTGATCCCAGTCACTGTGAGCTGATAGAAATTCTTCCTGCAGAATCCAGAGAACAGAAGATAGTTCTCTTTCTACCCCATCCCTGGAGAAGCCTGAGCTCTGACTGAATTTCTGTCTGTGCTCATCTCTGGCAAGGTTGCTGCAGATAAACTTGCAGGGACTGTTTCTGTCACAAGGTTAAACTTTCTCCTAACAGTTTCCAGATCCCAAATCCTCGTTAGAATGGGATCAGGGTTCCCAGCAGCAAAAGCAGAGGAACGTGCTTTCACTGCCATTTCAGTCACTGTGAACACTTCTCATCTCTTAGCTGGACCATCACTGTCTCCTCCTAACTAGTCCTCCTGCCCCCACCTGATGTCACTTCCAGCCTGACCCACTAACAGGGGCTGCAGGGATCTTTACAGAACAAGGTCTTACTGGGTCATGCTCCTGCTCAAAACCGTCTATGCCTCCTTCTTGTACAATAAACGGATTCTCAATTCCTTAAAGTGCCATTAATTGCACTGCTAAATATGGCTCCAATTTACCCTCCCAAATATATTTTTCCCTGTCACAGTCTCTTATCCACTGGGTCCGGCTCAAAGGCTGTTTCTTCTTTAAAGCCTTCCCTGATTTCCCTCAAACAGAACTGCCTCTTCCCCATTCGACAAGTTATCTACCCTTTATTAAGAGCTTCTTATATGCTAGACACAGGCCTAGATCAGAGCCTGGAACATGGCAGGTGCTAAATAAATATTAACCAATTGAATGCATGCCCAAGGGTTCCATATGTTCTATCTCATTGAATTATTCCAACAGCCTTCTCGTGTGTTCCGAAACTGAAGCTCAGAGAGTGTAAGTCATGTGCTCGAGGTAACAGGCTTAAGAAGCAGGGGACTCAGAACTCAACCTGCATCCATCCGATCCCAAAGCCCATGCTTTTAATCCCATCCCTACATCATGTTCCCATGATACATTACACACTGAATTAGAGCTCACTGCTTCTGCGTGTTTCTGCCCTGCCAGGCTTGGAGCCTTTTAAGGTCCCAGATCAGATTGATTCATTGCAGAGCTTTCTGGCTTGGCCTTTCTAGAAGTGGATAAAGCTTAGTGATGCCCGCCCCTAACCAAGCATGTGTTCTCCATGTGCGATGTGGACTGTGTGCCTCATCTCATCACATCCTTTCATCATCTCTGTTGGTTTAGTGTCCCTGCCCATTGTTTAAATTTCTCCTTATCTATCTATCTATCTATCTATCTATCTATCTATCTATCTATTATTTCAATGTTGAAACAGATGTTTAGAGAAGTTAGGTGACTCATCCAAGGATCCCCAGAAATTATGTGGCGGGGTTAGACAGTAAGATGGTCTTGACTCCAGCTGATGTGGAATAATTCAGACTCAGGGCCCAGAATCACCTGCGGGGAGCTGTGCTTTTCCTACCTGGGGTCTTGCTTCACCTTCAGCAGCCAAGAGCCAGTAATCCCAGGACGCCTCTGGCCCTCAGCCCTGCCTCACTGACGACAGATAATGTCCTTAACTCTGCATTGAGGCCACTTTTGGCCAAGCCTCAGGGTGAGCTCACAGCCAGGGAATATCCTTCACAGGATCATCAAACCCTCTGCCGCTTTCTGGATTCTGTCTCCAGCTTCCGACATCAGGTCTGCTTTCTTTTGATTCTACATCTATGATTCCTGTAACATTTTCTATCAAACCCTAGGACAACATTTGTCATTCGTAATTCCATATATGTAGCTTGGCCACCCCACTCGGCTAGGGACTCCTTGAGGGAAAAGTCTATCCCAGTGTCACTTTAGCTCCCACAATAGGGTCTGCTGCGAGCATCCTAGCACCATTCCTGAGCAGGCCCTCAGTAAAGATCCACTGAGTGAAAGAATCATGAACAGCCCCATGGTCTCCCTGACACAGTGTCTGCTTAACTTCAGGGCCCAGTTTCTATCAAACCGGAGCTCAATCCAGTTTGGGGCAGGAAGATGTCCAAATTTCTTAGCAAGGCCTGGAAGGCCATGTGCTCTCTGGTCCCAGCCCATGACTCCAGGCCAGGTGATGGTCCTCACCAGCTCTCTCCACCCTCCCTTCCCTGGTGCCCTAGGCTCCTTTCATGTGCTCTCAGTAACTCCTCCAAGGGGTTTCCCTCTGCCAAAATGCAACACTGTTCAATACCTACCCTTGTACAATGTCCTTTTTTCTCTCATCTCAACTTGCCCTTAAGCCTCACCTGGTCTTTATCTCTGGGTGACACTTCTCAGTTTGTGGATTATAATTAATCTGATGCATATCCATCACCCCTACCCTCCAAAGTCAGTATCTGAAATGGCCCCATTACCAAGCAGAGCCCGAGATGGGACTCAGCAGATGGGCACAGTGACCGGGTGAAGGCCTTCAGGAGCAGCACCTCCTAGTCACACCACATGGCCAATATCAGGGTATCCCATTTCCTACTCAGTCCTCAGCAGGGAGTCGGGACAGCAAAGGCCCTGCCCAACGATCAGTGAGGAGTGGAGTCTCCCCTACACACATTTCAACTTCCAACACTGATTAGCTGTCCTGAAAAGGGACATTGGGAAAGTTCCCTTCCCAAAGTTCCATATGGCAAGATTCTGTCCCTAAACATCCTTTTTGCACACACACAACTCATGCCCATGGGAAGGTAGGAGGTTTTGAAGTGACTGGAAGTACATATCTGGCCATGCTGGATGTATGAAGATGGCCAGGCACGGTACAATGTGCCAATGGTCAGCTCTGTCCCTCTAGTCACGGGACCCACAAAAGCTCAGTGCTTCACAGGGCCTCAGAGATGCTCTGGGACAATTCACTGAAGGGTAGAACACAAGGCCACAAAGGTGGTCCTGCACTTGAATGAATAGTAAGCTGCGGAGGGAAGAGAAAACAGAGCCTCTACCACGTGCCTGGCCACTGTCCTCACATGCGACTCACTAGAACCTATGTGCACGGGACACGTTAGTGCTCCAGTTTTAGAGATGAAGACTGTGCGTCTCAGGGACCTCAGGTGACTTCCCAAATAACGCACAGTTAGAAAGAAGCAAAGCCAGGTGTAGAATCCAAGTCTTCAGGTCTGACTGTAGTTTGTAGTTTATCCTCGCGGCCCTCTGCCGCCGTCCCCTTGACTCCTGATGCTCTCTCCACGCCCCCGCCCATCTCTCCCCTGCCCCTCAGTGAGGCCCAGAGCCTAAACTTTCAGCCTGGGAGAAGCTGCACTGGTCTGTGCTGGTCAATCCTGACCAAATTCGGGCTCTCAACTGCACCCTAGATGGAAACGTAACAAGAAAGCCAAAGCAGCCCCTTCACCCAGGGGATCATAACCTCATACCTGATCAGAGGCTGCTGCAGAGCCACCAGGGCAGCGTGGATGGTCACCGAGATCACCGACAGGTGGAAATAGTCGAACATGACGGGCACCTGGTGGTGCAGACCTCTCCGGGGGTGGAAGTGCAGGCCGAGCGTGCGGCTGCTGATCATGGATGCCCCGGCCACGTCCCTCAGCCTGGAAGGCAAGCGAGTGAGCTCACATGAGTGATGGTGGGTTGTCCCTGCTGTCATCCAAGCAGGTCTACATTACAACCTCATCCATGCACAACCACTGTGCACAAATCATCTTATTCAATCTCTACAAATACTCTGCTAGGTAGAAATCATTTTTCCCATGATTGGCAGATGAAGATACGAGACTTGGAGAGGAAAAAGAGCTCACAAGACATCACAGAGCTGCTATGCAGCAGATCTGGGACTCAGGCTCTGCTGAAGCTAATGCCAAACTTACCCATCAGTGATGGAAAGATGCCCAGACTCTTCTACAGGCTCACCTCAACCCTGAAGTGCCCCGGCCCTCCTTCCCCACTTGCTCATGTGTTACCCCCACAGATGTCCAGGACTGCACTTCCTTTGTAAGTCTGTGTTTTCTACTAGATTTCTAACTCTTAAGCGCAAGCAACGTGACCAACTCATCTTTATATTCCCAACACCAGCATAGAATCTGACATACTGTAGAAGTTGGTCAAATGTTTTCTTATTAAAAGGAATAATTCACTGACAATGAATGAATGACTCCCACAGCATAATGGTTAAATAGTCTGACCAGATTCATCAAGGACTCCCTACCTTTGCTCCAGTATTTTGTAATTGGTATGTGTCTGATTCCTAAGAGATAAACCAACCGGTAGGCAAGGCCCAACTGAGTCTTGGGTTATAAAAATGGGATTGATTCTTCTCTAATAAAAGCCATCCTGTGCTAATCTCAAGCTCTGTGAACCAATCACTCAGGCTCTTATGGTGTCTACGAACCAGAGCACTTGGGAAACTGGAGGGAGCATCTTCCATGAATAGAGTAGAGAGCTCAGAGAACGCTCAGAGAAGCTTCTTTTTCCTCCATAGATGAGGAAATGAGACACAGAGAGAGGAAGGTGAGGACAGCAGACTGCCAAGACCCAGCCTAATGGGTTTTGCTTCCTGGAATCCTTGTCACTTAGAGCTTGTGTGCAAATGAATGCCAAGTAAAAGAGCCAACTAATTCATTGGATCCCAGTGTGACTCCATAAATAGACCACAACTAATGGTCTCCTCTCTTAGCAGGAAGAAACCTGATTGGGAGGGGGCACAGAGTACCCCCCCTGAGTCTCAGAAAGTCATAAACCTTCATATTCACTTTAATTCTGATAATTTATTGAGGTCTTACTGTGAACTGAACACGGTACTTTTTCCCTTAATCCATATGACAATCATATGAGGTATTAACTTGTATTATCCCATTTATAGGTGAGGAAGTAAAGCCAACATGAGTTAATTGACCTGTTCGAAGTCACAAGGAAAAACTGAAATGCTAGATCCCAGTCTGTCTGACTCCACAGTCTGTTCTGCGTTGCTGCACATTATTACTTTGAATCCATTCAGAAACAGGTTCATATGAATCATAGGAATATCCTTAGGGCTTGAACAACAGGAGGTGAAATACATGTCAGGGTAGCAAAGACATCAGAAATGTTAACAAGAATTCAAGCCACATTAATAGGAGTAAAGAATTCAGAATGAGGGAGGTGATAGCTCTTTTGTGTTCTGAAACGGACAGAGACAGTTAAAGGAGATAAAACTCAGTTCTTGGGAGGGGTCTCAATTTAGAAAAGATAGAGACGAATTTTATAGCATTGAGAAGAGAATGCCTGTGTTCTCATAAAGGACCTTAAAAAATAAGGAAAAAACACTGAGAAAGAGCCCTGATGTTCAATTGGAGATGACGAGATTACTTAAAAAGTCTTGTTTATTTGAACTGCCATCCAGACTGAGAACTTTTCTGGGTGGTTGTAAGGACTAAAATTGAGGACAACTGAGGGAAAGCACACAGGGATGACTTGCTTCTTGATGTAAAGAAGATCCAGAGAGGCAGAACTATCCAGGGACAGAATGGGATATGATGGGAAGGGGTGAGCTCCCCATCCCTGTGCAAGCATATTCTCATGGGCCTTTGCAGACTAGCAAGTGAAAATGTGAAGTTAGACTAGAGCAGGGCTTCTCACACCCTCAGTAATGTTGACTTTGGGGACTGGGTAATGCTTTGTTGGGGAGTGGGGACTGTCTTGTGCACTGTAGGACGTTTAGCAGCACCCCTGGACTCAAACCACTAGATGCCAGAAGCATCTGCCCCCCAGTGTGACAAACAGCAATGTCTCCAGACATGGCCAAATGTCCCTGGGGGACAGAACCGTCCAATCCACTGGAGGAGATGGACACCAAGAGCCCCCTGTCCCTGATATTAGATACTGTGCTTCTCTGTTTAGTTCCTGCTCAGTCCCACCTGGTTCTAAAGAAGCTGACTGCCTGGGTCATGTTTCAAAGCTTAATGTCTGCCCCCAGGATGTGCTATGCATGCCTTATCATCCTTAAACCCAATTTATGAAAATGAAAAAATATGGCATTTTCAATTCTTCCCCAGCCTCTAGCTTCCTGTTCTTCTTAGCTAATCTTATACTCCACGAAACCCCCCTGCTCTAATTGTTATTAAGTGCTTGTATTAGAGAGAGGAAGTGACACATGGAAGCCTGGCCCCACTTACATCTAGGAAGCTAGAGAGAGGAAGAAAACATTGATTCAGCAGGCCACACACTTGGTCAGGTGCAGATATTGTCTCTCTTAATCTTCATAACAGAGCTATAAGATATGGATTCTATAATGATGTCCATTTTATAAATGAGGCTACTGAGATTTGGAAAAGTGCAAAGACTTTCCCAGTGTCTCATAGTTGATGAGCACAAAGCCTAGGTTGCTGGATTTTATGCACTTTGTTTGGGCCCATCTCCTGTACACAGGCTCTCCATTAACTACTGTTTTGATGGTAAGAAGGTCTCATTTCTTGTGTCCACCATGACTTATCATTAAGGCTGTCTGGAGGGCTGGGTGGAGGATGACTTCTAGGCTCAGTTCGGAATCAATGGCAGGGTTCTATGATCAACTGGAAATGTCTATCATGGAGCTATGGATGAATGCCTCTGAAAGAATTGGGCATAGGAGATATGGCAGGGGTGGGTTAATGAAATGAGTGAATGATAGATATCCCAGATGGTTGAAGGGCAATATGAGAACAAAAGAGGCAGGGGTTTCACTTCTGAGTGTATAGGTTAGGAAGAAGGCCAGACTCTTGTAGGGCCTGTGAGTTCAATATGGTGCTAGAACAACAAATCTTGGCGATGGTATGAGGAAGATAAGATTTCTCAAACATTCACCATCCCACCAAGGGGTAAGCAGATGTGATGAGAGAGATGGCCAGAGGGGCTGGGAGTCCAGATAAAGACAAGAGTGAGGAATCTGCGATGTTGAGCCCAGACTCTGTGGCAGGACCATGGACAGATACTCTTACCAGCCCAGAGACTAGACGTGACCATCTACACATCAGCAGATGTCCGTTCTCAATGCACAGATACAAACAGGTCTCTGACATTTCAGTAGTGGTCCATCTATGGTTCAGATTCTCTCTGATTCAAATCCCCATGTTATGAAACCTCCCATAACAATCAGACACATCTCAGGGATGGAACAGTCCTTGAGAAGAAGGAAAAAGTTCTGATAGGGAGACTGAACTTTGAAGGGATTTGACGACCCTTCTGCCAGCATTAGCCCATCAGCCACCAGATCCCCCATTCTCCATAGGAGAAGGTGAAGAATTTGCTGAAGAGGTTGTAGAGATAAGGAGCGAGGATTAGTTCACAGAAAGTGGTCAGAGCATACTGAGATCCTGTTAATAGAACAGAGAGAAAAGAAGTGGCCCCATCTTCTTAAGCCTAATGAGGGGGTTCTTCAACTGAGCTTGCCCTGTGTCCCCTAGAATTGGGGAAACACGGGTCCTGGTGCCTGACTCATCCTGAAAAGTTCCTCAGGAGAAAAAGTGAGGGTGGCTGGATTGGCCAAAGGAAAAATGAGCAGCATTGTGCGTGTGTTAGGGGGTCCCCACCAGTGTGGGATGAGGGTTAAATTGCCTGTGTACATTACCAGAACCAGATGTGGGTTCTTTCGAGAGAAGAATCTGCCAAAAGAGCTTCCTACAAGGTGTGAATGACCCAACCATAGGAGGCATCATTATATCAAAGAACTGCTGGGGTTGGGCGGAGAGGGAGGCTGACTAATGGGTATATCTCCAGAGATTGCACAAGAACATCCCAAGAGCAAAGATAGCAGTGACTCAACACCTATCATATGAAGAGCTCTGTTTGCAACTGAACCTGTCAGATATAACTCCCTGCTTCTTCTGCAATCTCCTCCCTTCTGACCCTGCAAGGCCCCCAAACCCCAGTGGGGAAGGAGGTAGGACAAAAATATGAAGCTGCCCACCATACCCTGCTACTGCACTAGGAGTCTCCTACTCTGAGAAAGCCTGCGGTGGGTTGAAGAAAGGGGGGAATGGCAATGAAAAGAAGTTATCAATTGGGTGAGAGTTTAGAGTTTTGGCAATACTCTTGACTGCACTTTTTAATATCTGAAAAAAGGGTTACTTATTTATTACCTGAAAGAACCTGGGGAGGCTCTGTGACATGACAGTTCACCCCAGGGTAGGAGGAAGAGGGTACGGAGAAAGCTGAAAGGAAGCAGTTATGAGAAAGAAGAGAGTCACCTCCCGCTTATTTAATAAGCAGGTTGCACATAAATGGAGTTTCAATTTTCAGAGAGTTGAAACACAATAGCATATATTTGGTACAAAGACACAGAATCCTGGCAGAATCTCATTTGATTTAGAAGGGTCCTTGAGATCTGCAGCCTCATAGGCTCATTCATCTAAAGACATAATTAATACTCATTGAAAATGTATGGAGGTATCAGGTATGGTAAGGTGCCAGTTAATAAAGCCAAGAAGTCAGGAGATTTCTGTGCATGCAGTTCTGAGACACCCCAAAAATGCATGGGGTTTGAAATGACCACAGAGACATTCTTAGCCCACATTCGTGGGTAGGCTGTGACATAGAGGGGCACTGCAGCTCATCAGGAACTGGATTTCTGAGAGATGTTCTGAGGTTCATGGCCATGAGGACACCCCAGGGGTTGGGAAGGACTCGAGGGAGGAAATCATGCTATCACAATTCAGGAATTTCCAGGACACTCACTGTTGTTCACTGTCTGTAAAGTGCAGGTCCACCTTGAGTTGAAAATCAACTTCACTTAGTGCCTCTTCCACCTACAAGAGAAACAAAGTTCAAGGGATTTCAGGAGTCCAATCTGGTCCAAATGAAAAGTTTAGCTGGTCTATTTCCCGAAGTTTAGAAAAAGAATCTCCCCAAAAAGTTAATGTCATTTGTGCTTAAAGCAGTATTTCCATGCATGTTCTATGGAATTCCGGTTGAAGAAGATATCTGTGAGTATTCCATGGAAAACAGAAGGAAAAGATTTATGTGGTCCAATTGGGGAAAAGGCCAATTTGCAAAAGATGATAAACAAGTTTTCTATGTTGCAGGACTTTTGAGAAACTCATTCCTCAACCAGACTTGATCGGGAATCCTCTAAGCAGGAATTGTCATAGCACTGGCTTTGGGAAGAGTGGAACAGTGAACTTGCCTAGAGTGATGGGATAATGTGGGAGGTGATGTTATCTCTGCCCTCGGGCACCCCTGCACTGTGGGTGCCATTCTCCTGGTTCACAGAGGAGGAAGCTGATGCTGAGGAAAGTGAAGTCATTTCCCAAGGTGGCTCACCTTCATAAGAAAGTAGATCCTTCATGACTGTCTTGAGATCCATTACATTTAACCATGTGTGCTTTAAGACACTTTAGCATTTCATGTCCTGTTTATGGCTGCTTTCATTCTTAGCTTTCAAAATGAACTGTTTTTGTTAATTAGCACAGGAATCTATTTGTTCTACCTGATAGCTTCTTAAATACAGCTAAGAGATGATACTCCTTGTTCTTCTTTTCCTGCACTAAACACCACAACCCCCACCCCCAGGGGAATTGTTTGCTAAATTCCAGATTTCACCATCACCACCCCTACTCAGCGGAGAAACTCACTTAGGTACCGGTGCCTGTGACAGGACTTCCTCCTCCCCACTCCCAGGCTAGACAGACCGCTTCTCCTCTGAAACTCACAAAGCTCTGTTTCTCTTCTCTATCTTGGCATTCACCGTTTCCTATAAAATTGTTTGAGATTTATAACCTGGAAGCTCATGAGCCAGATATTATCTGTAGACACTTTTTCTTTAGTCCTCATCATATTTTTAAAAATGTTTCGAACAAGTTGCAAACATTCAAAAATAAGGCTGTTTCACATTTCTATTGCAGTTTTCTGGTTTCTGAAAAAACAATCCCTGGATCTGGCCATGCTAGGCTGGCACTGGAAGCTCCATTTGGATCAGGCTACAGCAGTCACTGATAATACCCATCTGGCCTGTGGCTAAAATCCTCGGCCATTTATGCCCAGCTCCAGGAATAATGCCTACCACATAGAAAGTATTAGTACATCTTGAGGGATAAATAAAGCTCTTTTCCACCCCCAGCTTTTTTGGTTTTTGTTTATTTGCAAGAATGTCTCCATCCTGCAGGGATGGAAATCTCTTACCCAAAAACCTCTTTGGAAACACATTCCTGGTTAAGCATAACTCAGGCAGAGACATACGGATGGAATTTTTCTTTAGGTCCCCAGTGTTTTAAAATTTGTTGTGGGAAAAAAAAGCATTTAAAAGTTAACATTTTGCTGAATCCAAGTGCTATGAATAACTTCCTCTCCTAGCTTTGTTTTGCATAATCACAGACCTCACTTTGTACACACAACTGAAGCAACACAGCCTCTTGCCACCAATCCCTGGGAAGTGAGACTGACAGAGTAAACCCTCCTCACCACCTTCTGAGCATGCGTTTGCCTGGTTAATGAAAATTCACTGTAAACTCCAGTTTTGAACTTGCTGCAATTCCTTTGGAACTAGGAGAGAAATCCTGGGCCAGGATGAGCTTTGGCTAGATAGAGCCTGGCTATGATTTCACCAATGTCTCAATAAATCTGTAATTGCAAGATGCTACAGAATGAAGACTTGGCTTCTCTAACCATTCATTTCATCATTGGCTCTTCGCTACCTGCCCCTCCCTCCAAAAACACATATGCACACATTCACATGTACACATGCACATACATACATGGGCACACGCACACAATCACATGTACATACACATGCACACATTCACATGTGTACACACACACACACGTTTCCTTCCATTGCCCTGCCCTATCTTGGTTAAAGGCATCATCTCCTTTCAAGGGTCATTTTTTAGTGCCGGGAAACAGTTTTGTGTGCTCGTGGAAATAATAACAGTATCTACCATTTACACAAGAGTTACCATGTAGCAGGCACTGAGCTAACGCTGTCCATATACTATCTTATTTAATACGGGTAAAACTATGAATTAAGAAATAGTGTCCCCATTTACAAATGAGGAGATTGAGGCTCAGTGTGGTAAATTCACTTTCCCCAGCTCAACTAGTTAGTGAGTCCTACAGCCCAGATTCAGTCAAGGGTTCCTCCATTTCTTTGGCCTTTTCCCATGATCCAATCTGTGTTGTAGGTTGCACATCCTCTCGCTGGTTGGTTTCAATTTTACTCATAATGATGACTCTCATATCTTGTCCTCCTTTCTTAACTTCTCTCCTTAGTTCCATCACAGCTGGGTGGGAAGAAGAGGCTTTGGAAGTCAAGCTACATGAGTGAGAATCCTGGCTCTACCATTTAGTATCTGTGTGACCTGGGGTCAGTCAACCTCTCAAAGCTTGTTTTCTCACCTGTAAAATGAGGGTAAAATAATTACACTTACTCCTTAGACAGGACTGCTATTGTGTGACTAAATAGAAAATGCACACAAAGGACTTAACACAGTATGTGAACAAAGACCATTCTCAACATGTGTAAGTTATCGTTATTGTTGTTATTTCCAACGTACCATAGGCCCAGCCACCTATAGGACCCCTTCCTCCACCAGTGCCACACAGCAGCTCTGCATATTTGTCATAAATACAGGTTTTGTGGTCAGACTACCTGGGTTTGAGTCTCAGTTCTACCATTTCCTAGTGGTGAGACTTTGGAAAATTTACTTAATTTATCTAAATCTCTGTATCCCCATCTGTAAAACAGGAATAATAAGACATCTCACAATAGTGTTATGATGATTCAATGAGATTTTCCAAGCAAAGCTCTGAGCACAATGCCTGCCACACAACACTCCCCTAATAAATATAAGATGCTATTAGTGTGAAGATCATGAGATTGTTATTGTAACTCAACCTGAATTCCTATCACTCCCCAACAGAAACGTTTCTTCTCCCTACCACCCCGGACTATCAATGGAATCTCCAAGCTCATTTCACGCCCAAATCTTGGAGGCTTAACCATTTAACTTTTTTGACTACAGGATGTGCCCATCGCCTATGCTTTACCTGAGCTCAGTTCTATGGGCTACCTGTAGCTGTAATGCATCCCACTCTTTCCATCCATCTCCACTGTTGCTACCTCTGCCATGGGGCTCACCAGCACTCACACGGACTACGGCAGCTGCCTCCATGCCCCAGGTCTTTGGGCCCTGTTTTCCTTATTTCTGCCAGACTGACCTTCCTAAATCCTAGCTCTCCTCCTCCCAACTCCTGAAGGAGCGTCCTGCCTTCAGAGCAAGGTAAACATATGGCTTTTAGCAGGGCCTCTGTGGCTCCCCATGTTGCGTCCTCAACTTCCTTTCTAGCCTTGCATCTGTGCTGCCTCTTTTCCCACTGGAAACAATGCTTTCTTCCCAAATCTGTCTTCTACTTTACTTTCCTTTTCAATGTCCTTGCTATCCTCTGTCTCAAAATACCTTAACTGCTTCCTGTGGAAATCTCACTCATTTCTACTTATCAAAACTCTCAATCACCCTCTCCCCCATCAAAAAAAAAAAAAAACAGAACAAACCAAAACAAAACAAAACCTCTGCCTGACTCACTAGGTCTGGGATGGACTCAAGAAGCTGCATTTTGAACAAGTACTGCCAGAGGACTGGGATGTGGTACACCAAGGAATCACACTTTGAGAAATGCTTTTCTTTCTGAAGCCTATAAAAATGCAACCTTGCCCACAAAGGCTTTTTGATGTCATCTGTTCCTCTTCCTCCCGAGAGCACTAAGCATCATGTTGTTAATAACTGTATCTTCTTTGCCTTGACTGCTGGGAAGCTCAGAGCTGAATGTGTGGGCCACCATCAGCACATATCCAGCACTGCTTGTGCATTTTGATCTGTTACATTTATCCTAGGCTCTTTCCTTTTTGTGTTTTTCTTCTACTCTGGCTCATTCTATTGCTATTTTTTTCCTTTTATTATTCTATCTATTTTGTCAGCCTTCTCAAATTTTCTGTGGGATTAACAGAGTTTATATAAATAAAATATATATCTTATCTCCACACTCCCTTATTCTTTGCAGCCATCATTGAAACATCCCATCTATGCCTTAAGCTGTGATGAGTTCTGTCCACGGTCATCTTTTGCACTTATGTGTGCCCTCACTGTGTGGACTGAAGCTTCTTCGTATCTGCATTTCCCACAGCATATGGGGTGGTATGCTTGCTGTGTAGGCATCGTATAAATGTTTGTTGTTCACAATGATGGTTGTGTGAATGCATGAACACGAACTCTGACCACCTGGCCATAAACAGTGTTTTGGTTGTCACAAGCAGATAGACATTCACAGGAAAAGAGCTTAATGTATCCATTCCACATATACAATTTTTATGGACATAACCAATTAACTTTAATTGTCACTGATTTGGACATAATGGTTAACTATAACATTGTTTGCTGCCGTACGAATTACCGCCAACACAATAATAAATTATTAGCTTGTAGAGATAAGTGATGTGGCATGCAGAAGAAAACAACATGTACTGTCAAACAGACTCCCTGTTCAACCTCAGAACTAAGGCTTGTAACAACCTCATATGAGCTAAACTTGGGTGTTGGCAAACATTAAACTTGACAGGCTTTATAAACAGTTAGGGGCAGGAGCAAGACACTGATGGAATTAAGATGGAAAAATGACCAAGATGCCTGAGTAAGGCCCAAACCCAGCCTCCACTCACAACCTCTCTGCCCAGGAAGGTCTTTGAGATCAACATGCCAAAGGACAATGGCCCATGAGAAATAAAGTGGCATCCCCTTACTAGAATTTGGGGAAGCTAAGCTTGCACATGCACTCTAACTGGGAGTTTCTTAAAACTCTAAACAACCTCAGGGTATCTTTCCTTAAACTGGGTCCAGGAAGGAAGTAGACAATACACTCAAAGTGAGGAATATAAGTACAGTTCATTAAAGGGATGATTTACAAAGGTGTGGGGAGAATTTAGAGAAAGTGACCGATGGTGGCTTGGTACCTCAGGGTTAATAACTGCAGGACTTTCTTACCACTCTCAGTCTGAAGGGTCAGGCAGAGGGAGTGGTTATCAGAACTGAGGAGACAGCTACATGGAGTGAACCCTTGACCTGAGCTAAGGGCTTTGGTAGAAGGACACAGCCAGAGGTGTGCTGGTAAATGTTTAACAACCAGCTCTCTGAAGGAAAATTTAAAAACCCTGATTTTTATATTGCTGATTTCTGTGGTGTAAATATTTCCATCACAATGATTTCAAGCTACCAATGTGAAGTCACTAAATGTGGAGTTGGAAAGAGATATGTACCTCTGACTCCCAAAAGCTAGTGTAAGCAGGCCCCAGCTCACTCTGGACACAGCCAGCCCTCTGTGACCCAGCATGAAAGGAGGCTGCAGAGGGAATACTCTGACCCCACTCTGCTCCCTTCCTCCAGCCACCTACAGGACCTCTCAGATGCTGAACCCAAATAGAAAGCAAAAGGTAAGGATACTACTGAGTAGTGCGTGCAGTCAGTCTCTGGGGTCCAAAGCAAGTGGGGAAGGGAGAGAGATGAGATGGACGAACAAGTCAAAAGACAGCCAGCACAGCTCATAGAGTTCGTTTTGGTCTTTTTAATTTCAATTACAGATAAAGTCTTCGTAGTCACTGTGATGGTCCTAGGAAGATAGGAATCGGGTGAACTGAAGGCTAACAGGGCACACTTAAGATATTCATTTCTGTTTGGAAAGAAGGGGTTACAAAGGCCATAAAAAGAAGGGATTCCAAATTCAACTTGTTCATTCACCAACTAAGTCATTCACCTGTTATGTGTTGAGCATCTTCAGTGTAGTCCTATGCCAGGTACTGGGGATGCAGAGAGAGATAGGAGATGCCGACACTGAGAAGCTTGTAGACTGGTAGGAGAGGGGCAAAACTCCACAATAAAAATTGTGCTATTCCACATTTGTGACAAAATCAAGGGCTTCCCATTGCCCAAGAATAAGCTCTACATTCCTTCCCATGGCCTATGGTGCTCTGTAAGTCTGGCCCCACCTACCTCTCCAACTTCTCCTGCTCCCTTCCCCTCACCCACTGCAAAGTCAGCTTGGCCCTACTGCTCTTCCTGGAACACACCAACTTTATTCCCACCCCAGGGCCTTTGTCCTTGCTCAGCCCTCCTCCAGGGATGCCTGGCTCCTCCTCAGCATTTGGGTCTCAGCTCAACGTTGGCTTCTCAGGGAGGCCTCTACTGTTTGCCTCTTGTCCTCCAGGGAATAACCTCCATCTCATGTGAGGTTGTGTCGAAGTTGAGCTCTTGGCAATTGCATTATTTGAGTAGCCATCTGGAGGCAACAGCAAGTCTTGCAGAGTGGGCCTGCCAGGAGTTCTCTTTCACTTTGCGTCCAGTTGTAGTTTCACAGGACCTCCAATAGGGGTGCTTTGTGAGTGTGCCTCATAGAAGAGTGAGCTGAGCATGTAGCAGTGGGAAAGTTCAGTGACAGAATGTACATGCTTTATTTATTTGATTACACTGTGATGTATTGATCTAGCATTAAAATATAAGGCCAAGATACCAGGGATATTTTCTTGTTCACTCTTTTATCTTTAGCCCATAGTAGGTGCTTAGTGGGTGCTCAACAAATCTTTGATGGATGAATGGATGGATGAACGAATGAAGAATGAGAGACAGCTTTTCACTTCTAGCCACTGGTCACTACCTGGATCACAAAAGATGTACACAAAAGCCACAGGCATGAGAGGAGGAAGATATTAGATGGCCAGTAGGAGTCATTATGCACACCACATGGGGAATGAAGGTAGGGATAAGCCTCTAATTAATCTTTCCTATACAGGAACACACTTCTACAACATTAAAGGTATCCTAGTAGGAAATAATCAGCTGGAATGTGGCAACAGAGATTTGAGGCGGGACTAGGGGAGTGATAACAATGGTTTAGTCTTCGGATATTCTTTTGAAATGTGTTAATCTGATGAACAGGGAATTTTCAACCAAGTTTCCAGCAAATGGAATGAGGCCCCCAAGGCCTCTGGGCTTTTACTCATGCTGTTCCCCCTGCATGGGATGCCCTTCGTCTCATTCTTTGTCTGATGAACTCTTAGCACGCACATATCAAAGCCAGCTCCTTGGTGAAACCATTGCTGAGCCCCAGCTTTGTCCTCCCACAGAGCTCATCTCTCCTTCCTTGGTGCCCTTTCTTCATTTGTGCGTACAGCTGGGATAGTGCACATCTTTCTCCAGGCTGCTTGTTTATGTGTCTGTTTTCCTGAGAAATTATCCATCCCTTGAGGTCAGAGTTCCTGCTGTCTTCTTCAGCTTTGTCCCTCATCCAAGGGCCCAACACAGAGCCCTGCGCAAAGCAGATGCTCAATAGACATTGAGCTGGTTGACCCAGTGGCTGAATAGATAAACAAAAGGGCAAATGAAGAGCACATAAGAGAGTCAGTAAGTTAGTCAATGGGAACTGCTTGGAACAAGGAATGAGCAGGTATAGGAATGAAAGAATGAGTACAAAAATGAATTAATAAATAAGCTCTTGAATGCTCTAAAATCATGAATCTCTCTCTGTCAGATCTCAAGGCAAATCTGTAGTTTCTCCTTCACTTACCAGTACTTACCTAGCAATGGGGGCAAAAGGCGCAAGGAGGGAACACAGCTTGCAGTTGGTGGTAGATCCCAGGACTTACCCTTTCACCATCTAAGAGCAAATGAGCTCGGAAGATCACAGCATCATTTATGGGCACCTCTTCGTTCCTGTATAAGATCTGAAAGACCCGGCTGTGCATGGTGCTCTCGTGGATGCAGGCTGAATGCAGGCTGCTGCTGTCTGCAAAACAAGAACCAGTAGGAGCCCATGAACTCCAATACTGCTCTGTACCTGTAGCCTCCTCAGGTGTCTGTGCAGCTCAAGGAAAGTAATGGCCCCAAACTGCATTCCAATGTCCAAAGATTCAAGTCACAGATGAATGAGATCCCATCATATACAGACTTCTGCTCAGTGAATTGGGCTGGCATCTCAGAAGAACCTTGTTGAGTCCCTTACAAGCCATATGACCTTAGCTAAATCATTTGCCATGCTGTGGGCAATGCTCCTTGGCTGGAAATCGGTGCCTAATAAATTCCTCACTTGCTCACATGTCCCCTCCTCTGTGAAGCCTTCCATAATCCCCCTCTCCTGGAAACAATGAGGAGAAGGGATAAAGACAGAAACTGCCCTTCTTCTACAAGGACTTCCTACCGCCCACAGACTCTCTCTCCTGAAAGTGTTGTTTGCATATCACATACAATTTGAGGAGAACTCTGTCTTGAGTTTTAGGTAAACGTGCTGGTTCTAATTGTACTAAATATCAATTTTTTTAAGAAACTGTTCTCTGTGTCCTCTAATGCATTCTAAATATACCTTAATCCTTAAACACTGTTTCAAAGTTAAGTTGAACTTCAGGAACACAAATCCATCCAATGGTTTAAAAGACCTTACTGAATCCACTGACCAGGGTTCTCATGGGCAGCAAATGGGTGAATTCCTCCAAATCACTTAACACATAAACTGCATAGTTGGAATAATACAGAAATATTCTAAAATAAATAATGCTAATACTTATACAAGGCAATGATTACCTACTCATAATTATGACCAACCATGTGATACTTTGCAGTTTCCAAAGTGCTTTTCAAATGTGTTATTTTCCGTAATCCTCATGGAAAATTGCTAGGGTAAGTTTCACTACAGATGAAGAGGTGAAGACTCAAAGAAGAAGAGGTACCCGGGTGTCTTGGTATTTGCTGTATGAGGAAGCATTGTGTGGATTCATCCTCACATCTCTCTACTGACTGACCAACGGAGAAAAGAAGTCTCAGGTGAATGAATAAAATACACCCATTCCCTAGCAAGAGGTAGCTACTCTACAAAGCATTACTGAAGTAATGAAATAGCATGCAAAGGGAGCCAAGACAATAACAAGAAAAAACAGTCTAACCAGCAAAGAAAAAACTGCTCAAGTGCCTTGTGTACTGTCCTCAGATGGCTTAAAGAGTTCTTGGAGAACGGGACAATGGGTCACTGTCATCTGCAATGCACAGTGACACCTAAACCAACATCTGCCTTGTAGCTTCAGAGTAGAGAAGAAAAAAATGTAAAATCTCAGGTCATTTCCAAGGCTGCTCAGGTGTGCCTGCTCTAATTTGCACTTCATCGTGAAGGAATTAAAATTACTGGCCTAGTGTGGCCCTCTATAGAACTGTTAGATTCAAATTGATGTGGCTTTTAAGTAGAAGTGATCCTCGTGTGCGAATGCTTTTCTGTTTTTTTTTTTTTTTTCTATTTGCTGCACTGGCCCTTTCTCTATCACTGTCAAGGTCTGGTTGATCTATAAGCCAGACCGACAACGTGGCAGAGGATGGAAGGGGTAAATACTCTGAAGGTCAGAGCAACATCGAGCCGTCTAGTACCAGGAAGGTCAGCCAGCAAAACAGTTCAATCACTTGCCTTCTTGGGCAAGTGACATCACCTCTTGTAACACCAGCTTTCCATGTGAAAAATGAGCATATCCACACTGAGCTCCTGGGATTGGTGTAGACATAAAGAGGATAAAATAAATCAAGATCTTAAGACCAGGCATGTACTGGGCATGCAATATGCAGTAGGATGACTTTTTAATTGTGTTTAGAGAAAAGTCTGTGCACTTTCTGTTGACTACATTTATGCTGGCCACATTTCTATGGGAAACTGAGCTCCTCTGATTTTGAGCAGATTGGCAAACTAGACCACAGGTCTCAGTGGTATTTACAGAAGTTCACCAAATCCCGAGGTGCTCCATTAAATCCAGGATGAGACATTTCTTATGTCCTGTGGGACTTTCTGTGTCATTTTCTCATCACTATTAAGGAGGGCATAAAACAGGTGTCTTCTTACAAGGGAAAGCTCACTGATCACAAGACATCCTCTGGGATTATGGGTATCACTGAGACAGCACCTACCTGCTTTGTTCCCATTGGAATTCTCCCTTCCCCAGCAACAACAATCTACACTTGGACACCCTGTCCATTATCCTTGCTCCCTCTTCCTAGCATTCTGTAGGAAATGCTACTTTGTTCTCCTTGGCAAGGCCACTTCCTGAAGTTTCTAGTACTGGTTCTCCTGCTCATTCTGCAGAACCTTCCTTGGCAGACAGAAGGCACTCATTCACATCACGTGCAACTCACCATCCTTTTATGTCCAGGCACTGGGCACCCAGAGATGAGAAAGTACATATGCTTTCCACCCTTAAAGATCTTGCTCATAATTTGGAATGCTGCCCTTTCCTAGCCTTGGGGTATAGAACCACTTTTCTCTTTAGAACACTTTTACTTATTGTTTAGCGGCCAGATTTCTATTCAAGCAGTCCAATGAGAAGGTGTAGACTAGAGTCTTCCCAAATATCTGTGTTCTTCTTTTGTATGTGTCAGGATTGGTACCATGAATAAGCATCTGAAAGGAGAGTTGGAACTTTGAGGGGAAACAAGACCGATGGAAAGAAGGTGGGAGGAGGAAGAGAAGGGAAGGGAAAGGAATAAGAGGAGGGGAGCAGAGAAAACAGAACAAGGTGGAGGAGAAAGAGGAACTCTTTAGTGGCTCCCACTGCCCAAAGAGTACATCAAACAGCTTGATCTGCAATTTCAGGCCCGAAGGCAAGAGTAAAATGATTTCTGGTTCTGCTGTTTATTTTCCTAAAAGTTGAGAGATGTGAACACTTGGCCTATCTATGTACCTCTAAGTGTTCACAACTCAAACAATGACTTTTCCTCTGCTGAGAACCCCCATCAGCCCCAGAGGGCTCTATGAGCATGGATTACAAAGTGTAGGTGCTGTTCATCTAATGTGGACCCTCTGCCCCAGAGTCCAACCTCATGGACTCAGCACTCTCATGGACCTTTCTTTGTGGACTGAACCCCGCTCCCATTCCAAATGCATGCACATAGGAGCTCCCCAGAGAACTGAGTTTGTACTAAACAGTCAAAACTCTGGGAGACCCCCTCCAACCCTCCAGGCCTGAGGACAGCTGGGTGAGGTTTGGGCTGTCTGAAAAAGAGGATGTTGAGAAGCTATCACTGAATTTCCTCAAACACAAGCCACATTCATATGGAAGAATCCTCCAACATATTAGAGCTCATGAAAGTGGAAAAGCCAAGTTAGATTATGAGCAACTCAAGGTCAGGACATTGGCTTTCTAATGGTTTAGAACAGGACCTCCTTCAGTAAGGCAAACGTAAGTTCTAGACTTGCCCCACCACTCTCTCTCTGGGTAGGCTTGGGCAGGCCATTAAATCCGAGCTTAAATGAGGCAAGAATCATGTCTTGCCTAATTTCCATGTTGAACGTGAGGCTCAGAATCGATGAGGAGTAAAGAAGTATGTGTTTAACTGTAATTCTCAAAACTGAAGCAGATTTCCTGGTAAGATGAAGATGATAATGACGATAATTCTTTATGCTAGATAATTTTATGGCTATTTCCAGGAACAGGAAAGACAGAATGTCAACTTGAAGCCAAGCTTTACTATTTTTTCTAACCATTTCAAAGAATAGGCAGAAAAGAAAGCCACCTTGAAACAGATGTTCACCATTTTTCCAGAGAATGATCAGAATGATTTCCTGTATCACTTAGGAGTTGTCTGACTGGTGGGGCAGTGAACACTCATTGCCAGGGTAGAGAGGTATGACATGACCTTCTGTGGTTCAATTAAGGCTGCTAGTTTCCCCTGAGACTCTATCACAGGAGTACAAATGGCATAGTCTGCAAAGAGAAAGCAGGAACTCCTGGGAGCAAAGATACCATCGTCTTGATGATTTTTTCCAGAGTTTGGAAGTTGGGGAGACCTGTTGGACTGGGACAGACTTTTCCCAACCTAGAAGAATTAACATATTAACATTAACTCTGTGGATCACGCAAAGATAACCTGTTCCCAGAAATAAAAGAACCTTGAGGAAAGCTGGACCCCAGGATGATAACTCTGGATGCTCACAATTGCCCAAGCGTTCACGAGTAGAAGTCTGGTTTAGTTACATCTTGAGCTGGAAAGTTCTGTGGACCCATCTAACCTGGCCCAAAGGTTGTGCATTGAAGATCAATGGCTGAATATATGAATGTCATATAAAAGGTAATAATCTGGGGTCCGGAGGCATGGGTCCCAAGGCCTGTGCAGATGCCTGGACTAGCAAGTTCACCATGGAGGCTACAAGCTTCTCAGAACTCTAGAGAACCACATTCAACAGAGCACCTGTCATCAGGAGAAGCCCCAGCAGCAATGGACTGATCAGACCCAGTTGTCTCCTAATCTGACATTCAGAAAAGAACCTCATTTCATTGTGTAAGCCCAGGGCTTCTTGGACAATGTGAGAAGGGGAAAGTGGGTTAGCATTTCTACTAAAAGAGCATTTAGATACACAAGCACTTCTGTGGAATATCTGAAGAGATGTGAATGTACTTATACCTTCAATTTTTGCAGCATGTCATGTTGGTGACACATCAATGAAAGGCTATATTTTAGTTGTCATTTTTATTGCCATTTGAACGAATATCAAATGTTTTTCTTGCTTTCTACTTAAAGTACCCTACTGTACATAGAATATTGAATATTTTGCTTTAATGCAGATGGATATGAGTTTAGGCCATGCTCATAATCCCAGATTAATATATTTCTATTATTTTTGCTATAAGACATATTCATTCATTCATTAAATTTTTATGAATCACCTGCCATGCATCAGGCAAAACATTGGGATTGAGCAATGAACAATCATATGGTTCCTTGTGGGGTGTATCTGTCTTGCACATCCGTCCATGGATTAGG